CGCTTTCTGGTGTGGAGAAGGCGCTGGTGAGTTGAAGGTCACTGGAAGGGGAGGGAGCGAGGAGGGGGAGGGGGAGGGGGGGGAGGGGGAGGAGGGGGGGTGAGGTGGTGGTAAGGGCGGAGAAGGTAATACTTGGTTGCGGCAGGGCGTGAGCAGGCAGGAGCGAGGACCTCTCGTCATCTACGGGGTTCCTTACAGCGAGCACAGCAGCTTCTCGGAGATCCGATCGATGGTGAAATGATTACGATGACGATGAGAACAAGGATGTTCATGACGATGACGACGACGATGCTCTTGATGTTGATAAACATTGATGTTGATGATGCATTGATGACATGGATGAAGCTGATTGCTGATGTCGATGACTACAATTGTGAGGATGATATCATTCTCTACTGACTTTACTAATCCGATTCTTTCACAGGTCAAGCTGCTTGCTCCTAAAAGGATTGTCCCTACGGTTAACCTTGGCAGCACGGCAAGCATGCTGAGGCTGCTGAGCGAGTGAAGCTACCAACTTCTCTTTCATTGCGATGCTGCGAGAAAGCGTGAGGGGACAGAGAACCTCGTCCTTCTCCCCTCCTGACTTCTCTCCTCCCCCCACCTCCACTCCTCCCTCGCCTCGCCCCCCGTCATGCTCTCCTCCTCGTCTCTCCCCTCGCTCCCTCTCCTCTCCCTCACCGACTGATCGCATCCAAGTCTTGAGATCCCCTGGTGGGTTGACGTCCTGTCATCGAGTTACGACTCGTCGGAGAAGAGGCGTCAAGACCTTGAGACTGTCAGCCACGTCCAGCAGCTCCATGAGCGACTCGCACGGCGAGAGCTCCTGCAAGGAAGCGAGTGAGGAGCGAGGGGACAGGGACAGCCAGGGAGAGAGGAAGAGAGGAGGATGCGAGGAAGGAGAAGAGAGATGGGGTTAAGAGAAGGAGGAGGGAGCGAGGTAGGGTGGAGGATAGCAGTGAGGGATATGTGGGCAAGGGACCTGCTCATTGAATTCTACAAGCTGTTCGAACTGAGCCAGTAGCTGCTCATGATCATTCCTTAACTTGCCCTGCATCCCGTCGGTCTCTGACACCCATCGCTCGCTGGTCAACGCTCCATCCTCCACAGCCCTGGAGCCTCCTGGCAGCTCGTAAAGCATCTCGTGAAGGCGGGAGACGAGCGCAAAGAGCATGAAGGGCAACCGGCACTGCGCAAAGACCTCCGGCGACTCCTCCCAGCTCTCTCCCTGCAGGGAGGAGTCCGGCAGTCCCCTCAGCGCCTGTCGCAGGAGGCAGGAGAGGAAAAAGCTCCTCTTCCCCTGCCAGCAAGATGGGAACCAGAGGGTCGAGACCAGGTGATAGTCCGGCCCGTCCACCACGCTCAGCACGCCGTCGCTGCTCGTCTGTGACACGTAGCGGGTGAGAGAGGAAGAGATTTGCCGCCAGGTCGAGCTCGCCCCGTCCCCGAGGCAGTGGAAGCCCATCTGGACCATGAAGGGCACGAGCTTCACGTTGCTGATCGCCGACCCCCCGCCGGAGTCAGTCGCGAACGAGGCGCCTGACGCCAGTCGGAGGAGGAGGAGCCGGATGTCATGGACTACCATTCGGAAACGCGAGCCCTCGTGCCTTCCCAGCTGCGCAAGGGTCGCCCAGTACTTCTCCGCGTGCTCGGTGAACATGTGGGAGGGGGTGGCAGGGCCTCGGATCGGCAGGATGTTGTTGCACTTGGTGTTCTGGTTCCTCAGAGTCGCCCCCTCCCACTCCATGCGCGGCACCTTCATGTTTCTCTCCGCCCTCGTCGCCTGCTGGTGGCAGCTCATGTGGACGACGCTCATGTTGCAGACCGTCGTGAAGCAGCGGTCCGTCCGACTCGCCGAGGCGCCTCGGTTGGGAGATCCCTGGGCTGCCCCAGCGACTGCAGCTGAACCCGAGGAGATGGTTGTCTTCTTGTTAAGCACGTAGATGCCGAGCACGTCCTCGGGTTTGTAACGGAACCCTTCATGGCAGATGATGCACATGAGACCGTCCTCCTCCTCGAGCTCGTCCGCAGCCCAGCCCATGGCCTTGGCCTGCTCGTTGAAGTTGGAACTGCTGCCTTGAGCGAGCCCCATCTCCTGCAGGAGCCGCTCCCGCTGCGCCTTAGCGAGCTCGCGCTTCTTACTCGCGGTCTCCTGCCTCAGGGCCTCAACCTTGACCTGCAGCTCGGCGTTCTTCTCTGCCAGTGACGCCAGCAGCTCCTCTGCCAGCGACCCTATCCTCCTGTCCGACGACATGTCCTCCATGATGTGCACGCGCTTCAAGATCCCGCTACCGTCCACGTAGAGCTGAGCCACGTCGTATCCTCGGATCATGCCCGTGAGCAGCTTCAGGACGCGCGGGAGCTCAACAGAGTCGATCGCCTCGCGCCACTTGGCGTCGTCCTTGTCCACCGACTCGCTCGGGAGGATGGTGAGGAGGAAGTCAGTCAGCGCGACGACGACCCCCCTCGCGGTGAGCTCCTCCCTCAACAAGCAAGCCGTCGACTCTTGTCCCATCCGCTGGACAATCGAGACGAGGCAATCCACGTAAGCCTCGTGCTCTTCTCGCTCCAGAGGTCCCACGATGGGCTGGACGGGAGGGATCAGGTCTGACGACTCCTCGGCGATCTTGGTGATGGGGAGGATGACGTTGACGTGCGGGAGGAAGCACTGCACGAGGTACTTGATGAGCGAGACCCTGCTGTAGGTCAGGAAGGGGAAGATGCGAGCCAGAGTGTTGGTGATGCCGGGGCGGCAACGGACTGTGTGAGAGCCGAGGCGAGAGAGGAGCAACTTGAAGTTGTCTTCCTGGTTCACCGACACGTCACCCGCATGCTCTGACTCAGCCGGGCTCCCCATGTTCGCCTCCTGCACGAGGGACTCGAGGATCAGGAGCATGGTCTCGGCGGACGGAGGGATCGGTTCTTCCAGCAGGACGATGCAGACGCGAGAGAGGACGATGTCAACGGCTCCCAGCTTCAGGGCTGCGACCCTGTTCATCCTCAGCTTACAGCAGGCATGGAGCAGCCGGAGCAGCAAGGGCTCAAGTTCCGATTTCGCCGAGGACAGGTCAATCTCCTTCACTCTGTCCAGCAGGACCTGCAGCCCTCCCGTCTCGTTCATGAGCGCCGTCATTGCAACTTCCTCTTCCGGGTCCTCCTGCTTGCTCGCATCTGCATCACGAAGAGCTTCCACGATGGGCTCCGTCGCCTCCCCGTCGAGGCCTTGCAGGCGGTAGATCACTTCCATCGGACTATCTGAACTCTCCGGCAAGGTCGGACGCCAGACCTGCTCGTAGACGAGGCTGATGGGCAGGTCTAGCCTGACGATGTTGCCCCGAACCAGCAGCTCCATCCCGTTCTCGTCCTCCATCAGACCCCCGAGGTCAAGGTCCGTGCAGATCTTGCGCTTGACATCTCTCATAGTCGTCCCGATGTCCACGGAGCAGTAGGGGTTCTTGGTCATGCTCCCTCGGATGAACTCTTCTTGCGTCGGGGACTTGGTGAGGATCAGCCAGTAGGTCGGCTCAGGTTTGGTGGGGCACATGATGTTACAGAGCTGCTGGAGCAGGAAGACGGGAGTCCTTCCTTCACGGTGGTGGCGAAGGGCGCTGACGCAAGCAAGGCAGAAGCGCTTCTGGTCGGCTTCGGACTCAGAGGAGATGGACATGAAGGTGGAGAGGAGGAGCTGAGCGCAGTCGTCGGTGAGCTTCGTCTTCTGGACGATGAGGCTCTGGACATGAAGGAAGTTGTCGAGCATTTCAGCCAGCAGGTTGTCGGTCATCTTGAACCGGTTGCGGATGATCGGGACATCCAGGAGGGAGACGAGGAGATCCAACAGATGCTTCAGCACCTGCCCTTCCGAGATGTCCGCCGAGCAGGAGATCTCCAGCTGCCTGATGCGCTCTACCTCATTGGATATGAGAGCACACAGGGAAGGGATGAAGCCCTTCTTGGCAAGGTACATCTTCCTGCTGTCGTCCTGCAAGAGCTTCGAGAAGAGGCCGAACAGCTCCGCACTTCGCCCTCGGCAGGCCGCCGCCTCCTTGAGGAGCCCCGAGAGCAGCTCGAGGAGGACGATGGATCGGAAGTTGTCCCGTCGCACGACAGAGAGCAGCAGGGAGCTGCTGAGCGACCTCACGGCCTGGGAGCAGGAGTTGAGCAGGAGCTGGGTGACCCACTTGCGAGATAGGAGATCCGTCCTCTGCCGGCCATGGAGGAGGGAGAGCCAACGGTACCCGTACTTGCGCTGCAGGTGAATGACTCGCTTCTCCTCCGTTCCCAGCTCCTTCCAGCTGGAGTATGATGCCTCTCCACTGTGCCACTGGGCATAGGTGACCGACGGGAGGTCAAGGCCGTTGGCGGCTGGGAGAGTGTCCTCCTCACTGTCTCGCTCCTCTTGAGAGTTGTCGCAGAGGCTGACAAGGATCTGCAAGGCGGGCAGAATGACTGCCTGGGCCACGCCAGTGACATGCGCCGCCTTGTCGACAGATGCGAAGAGGATCTCCATCACCTTGCGGTACTTCACCTCCCAGCAGTCGTCCATCAGCTGACAGGAATCCATCAGCAGGGACATGTCATCGATGAGCACGCTCTCGAGGTCAAGAGCTCGATGGTGTGAGAGGCAGAGGTCGATCTTGTGCTGGATGGAAGACAGCATAGCCATAGTGAGATCGTCGTCGTCCTTGATCAGAAGGCAGATGGTGCGTCGAGCTTCGCTCTTGAGGCTGGCGCTTCCGTTGTGAATGGCCGAGTGAATCAGGTCGTGAACTAGACGCTCCCGGAAGATCCTCCGGCATCGATCCTTCTCTGACAACTTGTCGATCAGCCCGATGGCAAAGAGCACAAAGCTCGAAGCACATCCGTAGCAGCTGCGATCTTGCTTTCTTGAGATCAGCGACAACGCAGGGAACGTCGAGGGGTTGGAGAAGTTTGATGAACGGGAGAGGAACAAGGTGAGCTTCTTCCGAACAGCTGCCAACATCTCCATACTGTTACACATGCTCTGAAACGCGAATTTGGCATCTTTGAAGTAGATGACAGCCGCACTTTGAATTTGTTTGCTCACACCTCCAAACACAGCTCCCCCCACTGACTGTCCTGTCAGGTTGGCGATCGCAGCGATCTGGTTCAAGTTCAGGACGTTTCCATCGCTAAGAGCTGCCTGCTTCTTCGCTCTCACATCATCTCCCTCGTTCAACTGGGGCATGAACAACACCTCCAGCGCTCTCTTACACGATTCGATGTCTTGAAATGCCTTGTAAGCGTTCTCAGATTCTCGCTCCATAGTCAGTACAGCCTTGGCCTTGTCGTCTTCGTCCATGATCGGTTCAACGCTCAGGCTGGTCTTGCAGTAGAGCGAGTAGTCAAATCGCGCGTGCTTGCAGTATCCGCACTCATTGCACAAGAAGGCATCGAGGTTCTCGTAGTTGATGTTTCTGCACAGTCGACATTGAAAGGCATTTTCTCGACAGTAGCGGCAGACTCCATGCCTGTCTGTGACCGGCCGGTTGCATCTCGGGCAGAGCATGCGCTGACTGGACGAGGAGGCCTGGGCGTGGAAGTCAGCGAACTCGATCTGGATGTTGGTGGCGACGATGGGGATGGCTAAGTCGAGATGACCCTCAAGCTGGTCCGTTGCGAGATCTATGGTCCCTGCTTTCTTCCACAGGTTCCACTTGCCTCGCAGCTCGGTGACGTCAGAGACTTGCTTCGTGTTGTAGTAAAGAATGATGGACTTGACGAGCTTCAGGCGTCGAACCTCGGAGAGGCTGACGGAGAACCGCTGGATGAGCTGGGGGCTGACGAGTTTGACAAGCTGACATCTGTCGGTGAACTTGGACTCAGCCTGCAGTTGGTCCAACTTGCTGAGGGAGAAGGGAACTTCGATGTTGTTGCATATCAAACAAGGTTCACTCTCAAGGTAGTATCCGTCCACTTCCAGGCACTGGTGCAAGATTGCATATAAGGACGAGTTCGGGTGACAGACCATCTGGTTGAGCCCCTTGCAGATAAGCTCGGACATCTTTAGAGCCACTCTCTCAAACAAATCATCGAATTCCGTCTCCTTGGATATCAATTGCTTCATGGTTTGAAAGAACTCTTTGCAGTTCTGGCCCACAGAAGGCAAGACGTCAATCATAGAAATCAAAGTCTCCAGCAGGAACTGTTTCTGCTGAGCGGATCCATGCTTCCATAACCCAAGCACGAGGTCACAAGCCTGTTGCCGGATGCTGGAAGCTGCGTCCTCTAGAGCTTTCTCCCGCACAATGGAAGAGAACTTTGGATGAGTCAGAACCTTCCCGGCCACCAAGTTCAACCCCTCATCGACTCTTTGACTTTTAAGTGCCGATGGAGGAGATGAAGCAATCTGCGCATCATCCTTTGGTCTGACGGAGTCGTCCCTTCCCACTGCTTCCTTGTAATTGTTATCTTGGGTCAAAAAAGTAGCTGACAGCAACTTGATACATCCCTCCACCACCTCATTCGGCAGCACCGGAAGAATCTCCATGAGAAAATCGAGGATCCCTGTGTTGTCGTTACAGTACTTCTGCCAATTCCTGACCCTCGACTTGGCGATCTTCAACAGGCTCTCGATCGCCATTGTCGTTCTTACCGTATCCTTATGAGGTAGCTCGTTGCTCCTCTTGATCTCAACGCAGATGCTCTGAAGAGTCTTCACCTCTTGCTGGATGACTGCCAGGTCAACAACCCCGTGATAATCTTCCTCCGCTCCGCAGATCTGCTTCAGCACTTTCTTCGCAGCTTTCCGAACAGTCGGAACCGTGTTGAGGTTCAGACATCTGCAGAGTACCCGAGTCCAGTCCTTGCCCAGCGCTGAACTCTGCACGCACCCAACGGGTTCAACCACGTCCAGCCGGCTCTGCTCTGCTGGGCTTCCACCAGCCATGGCAATGATCTCTTGACAAGCGTTGAGCCGATAGCCAAGGTTGGCGATGACTTCGACGATACCCTGTCAACCAGTCAAGACCGACGCGAGGAGTAGAGCATGGCACAATACGAACCACAGCAGAGGTGACGCTCGTCTCCTTTTCTTCCTCCTCTGGCCCAATGTCGATTGCACCATCTTCTGAGTGCAACCGATCGAAATCCTTCAGCAGCCACGAGGGCGAAAGGAACTTCACTTTGCCTCCGAGATTTTCCAGCTCGGAGACAGCAGAAGAGTCGTTCTTCTCAAGCTCGTCCACCGCGGCTTCGAACGAGCGATGAAGGAAGGAGAGGAACTTCTCCCTCGACAGGATCTTGAGGGTCTCAGGGTTGAGCCCGATGGTTGAGTTCGGCTGCCACAAGAGGAGAGTCTTCTCGGTCAGTTTCTCGCTGCTCTTCCTTCCCACCATGGACTTGGATGGACCAGACACCAGGTGAGTGAGGAGCTTGAGGGAGTAGCAGAAAGGCTGAAGCTGCCTTGTGTTGAGAGTGGGAGAAAGCACCTCTCTTGTAAGGATGTGGTCGGAAACGGCTTCCGACAACGCAGCCAATGTCTCTCCATCGTCCCTCAGGTTCCCGTTGGCAAACTTCAGGACGAGGTAGAACGTGGGTACACAACAGGCCCCACCGCGATCGAACAGCAAAGGGATCGACTTGCAGATGGCATAGAGAAATTCTGAGGCAAAGAAGAAATCTACGGATCTTGGCTGTTCGACCTCCAAGCTCAATGAGATGGCAAGTTTGAGAAGAGCCTCTTCGTCTGTCGGATCAACATTCGCGGGATACAACCAGACGTCTGTTGGGCTTCGCGACGAGTCATGAAGATTGCCTGCTTCCCTGATCCCCTGGTAACAGTTGTTGCACAAGTCAAAGTCTTTACAGACCCTGCAGTGCCATCGGGTCCCAACAACAGGCTGAAGTCCGCACTTGTCACAGCAGTACACGATGGAAGACTGTCCATCCTGTTCCAGGACCTGATCGGAAACAATGCATTCCTCCCAGTACATCGGGCCGAGCCTGAGAGGGTCAGTATGATCGTGAGTCTGGTTCGCGTCTTCGAAGTGGACCTGTAGGACAAGATGAGCACTTTGCATTGGGCGTTAAGTGAAGTCACCTCCGTGTTTGTTGAATCGCTCGAACCCGCAGCAAGGAGCTCTATGTGCTGACAGAAGTTGTACCTGATGCGAGGGAACTGACACTGAAGGCCATAGATGAGGCATTCGACGATCTTGCGGAAGTTTTCAAGCGACGGACTGTTGGAGCTGAAGATGCTGCAGCCTGCATTCAGCTTCACGGGCCCTTTGAGGTTGAGAAGAGCCAGCTGAATGAGGTGAGACGCATAGCTATGCATGGCGCTGATGAAAGAATCCGTCGAGGGCTCCAACTCCGGTGGAAGTTGCCAGTTGGGCGTGTCAAAAATCATCCAAAAGCATTTCACCTGCATCGTCATCAAAAACGGATGTACTCCGTGGTAACCATCACCATGTTGTCGAGGAAGTTCGGCCTGCTCTGCATGATGGAGCCAAAGTGGTTCGGCCTGCGGGCAAGGACACGAGAGACGATGCCGGAGAAGAGAGAGAAATTCGAAGCTGAGAGATTTTGAAGGGCAGCAAGATCGTTCTTTCCGATCTTGTCGAAGACTTCTGCGAATGATCGCAGTTGTACCTTCACAGCAAGTCAATCAGACCAGGGATGCCTCTCAGTTCCTCCTCACCTGATCCTTTGACTCGCAGTAAACATCTTTGGAGGGGAACAAAACTTTGAGAAGCCGTTTGAGCGCAGGCCTCATAGAGATGGGCCGGCGTTGCAGGAGTGTCTGCGGCAGTTCGCTTAAAAATTTCTCTCTACATTTCTGAAAGTCCCGCTCCAGCGATTGCAAACCGCCGACGGACCAATGGACAGCAAGACAGTTCAGGATGGAGATTGAAGTCTTCTCTAGAGGATCCGAGCACCTCGATGCTGCCCGCTTCGCTTTCCTTGGTTTCTCTTTCATTGCAAGCAGCTGCATCTGTCGCTTCTGCCTCTCGTTGAACCCAAACTTGTCCTTTCTCATTCCGTACACCTCAAGTTGATCGATGGCCGGAGGATTACCAGGGCTGTGGCAGCCAACGATACTGAGGACAACCTCCTTGTCTGAGTTGAGGATCTCATCGTTAGTGAAGGGCACGGGATACCATCTCTTGACCCCGGGCTTCGTCTCAATGATTCGGTCGTGCACATGGAACTCAGAGGGGATATTGTTCATCAGCGCGTCTCCCACCAGCACCAAGAAGCCGATCATACAGAACTCAGGGTTTGAGTTCTGGACTACGATCTTCATCTGATCCATCTGAGAGCTGATGAGAGGCTCGTTGGACCCGTTGAGCTTTCTGTTCACCTCGACAGGACCTCGGTTCCCGTCCCCACTGATCTTGACCTTCTGCGTGATGCAGACTCCCTTCTCAAAGAAGTCGATAGGAAAAGTAACCTTGCTCGCCCCCCTTGTCTCCTCCTCAACACTCGTGCTGCTATCACTAGCCTTCGTGCTGGCATCCGACAGGATCCAACTCTGCAAGCTGCCGTCGTCGTTAAGAAGGAGCATACCAGGTAGGCTGGGACGGAGGCACGTGCACTGACTGATCCCAACCACCTGGGCTGACGAGCCCGAGCCATACTGCAACCAGGAGAAGCGGATCGTACTGCCGATCTGGAGCACTCCAGCTGCTCCTGAGTCAGTCGCGACGAGGATTTGACCCCAAGTGTGTCCCACGTCAACGAAGCGGTCGGGGATCATCTTGTACTCTTTGAAGTCAAGAGTCTGATGCTCCTTCAGGGCAGAGTCGTCGCTGTCCAGGGTGGAAACGAGCAGCTCGTGTGAATCGAAGCTGCACAGGAGGAGGCGACTTCTGTTGGAGAAGAACATGGCGCGGCAACGACGAGAGCTGAGCTCAGCCGGAAACTCCAGCCTTTTGTCGATCGGCAGAGTCAAACCAGTCTGGCTAGAATCAACACGAAGGTCACAAGACTTGACGACTCCAGTGTCAGTCAAGACTAAAAGAGTCGTTGAGGACAAGCTGTGGATGATCGTGGCTCCCTTGAGTCTTTCTCCCTCAGAGTCAGCCATGGAGAGGAGAGGATCGCTAGAAGAGCTGGAGACATCGAAGATGTGACAGAAGCGAGTCGTGACGACGAGCAAGTGAGTCTCCATGGTCGGCAACCACATGACGTCAACGATGCGGAACTCTTCCGTTCCCTTGCAGTCTGGCAAGTCAAAGGTTTGAGATCCTACAACCTTCCCGGAGGGACTGAGCTCAAAGTTCATCACGCTGCACTTGCCAGCCGCTGCCACATAGCGAGCAGTGGAGAAGCTGCAGGATAGACGGAAGATAGGAAACGAAACTGAAGCCTTGGAAATGATCTTGACGCTTGCCTTCTCCATGCCGAAGGAGGTGCTGGACGCCTCCAAGAGCTTTTTCCTCCCATCCACCACCACAAACTGATCGCCGTCAACCAGGACGATCATCCCAGTGGTAGTCAGACTCAGCAAGGAGAATCGTTCCTCCGATCGAGTCTGTCCTCGAGCATCGAACATGCTATCCTTGTTCGCCGCATCCTCCTCCCCGCAGACCGTCGTGGCCGTTAGATGTCCCAACCCAACAGTAGAGAAACTCCCTGGTTTGAGTGACCTGCGAAGCTGGATCTGTTTGTTCTCTTGGCTGAAGGAAACCTTGAGTTCCTTCAGCTCAGCAGCATCTCTCAACAACCCGCAGTCGTTTGACTCGATGGTTGCAACCAGGTTGTCATAGATCCTTGTGAGAGACTGTGAGACCTTGACAGAATCCTCGTCAGACGCTTCAACAATGACAAGACTTCTTACCTGGCTGCATCGAAGTTTGTGCAGCAACGACTCTCTCACTTGCCTCGTCAGCTGCCCTGGCAGTCGATCACACTCGGAGATCCAGTTGCTCAGCTCCGCGTCTTCCTCCTGTGAATCCATTCGCCCTGAGGATGCTACGTCTGCGCTCCTTGTCACGTTGCCCGAGTTGCTTTCTAGCTGGCCATTCGGTGAAGCCGAATCGTTCTCCCGGGGCGCAAGGGCGCTGCAAGTGTGCCCAGCTCGCTTCCCAGCTCCGCAGTCGCAGAAGAATCTCGAGTAGCGAGAATAGGTGACGTCATGCCCCCTGTGACAGACCTGCCAAGGGGTCAGTGGACAGAGCGCAACCCGTCAGCGATATCGCGGACCTTTGCGCAGACGGCACAACATCCCTCCTGAAAGACTAGCCCACAAGTCCAGCAGTGGTACCAATGCTGCTCGGAGAAGGTGTTGGACGTCTTGATGTAAGTGCAAACCTTGGAGGCAAGCCGCTTGTCTGACTCTTCTGCCGTCTCCTCCTGCTGTAAGTCTCTTAGCGTCAACAAGTACAAAGAGTCTACTTCACGAACTTCTTCTTCCATGAGAGGCTGGCACTCTCGGAGGCTGTCTTCGTCGTCCTCTACAGAGCCGGCATCGCCATCCATGTCAATGCTCGCACAGTCCATATGGGAGCCAACCTGCGTACACCAGAACAAGAGGACAAGTCACCACACGGGAAGACGCGCAAGTGCACGTGCAGCACCGCTGATGAGTCATCGGGGTCCATGTGCCCTGTGCTGGAGATGTACGTGATGGCGCTGGTGGCAACGGTCGACTCTCCGCGTGAGGTGTAGGACATGCCTCCTTCGTTGGAGACTTCCGACGACGTAGAGACCTGGGGAAGAAGAGAGTGAGAGAGAGAGAGGAGGAAGGAAGGAAATTACAGTTGAGAGGGTGTCTGAGGCCCTGACTTGGCCAGAGGTCACTGACCCCTATGAAATTGTCATTTTCACAAAATCGAGAGAGATTGAGCAAACCAGGTCCGAGAAAGGTTGTCGAGAACTGGATTGCAACGAGGCAATGAGGCTAGAGAGCATGTCAGCAAGGTTCGCAGCGCATTCGGGTGTTCCGAGATCTTGAGACGAGCCAAGAGAGTCTACGATCAAGTCGATCATCTGTTCGACCCGACTCTGCGATTGCCGGAAGCAAACAAACTTGACTCCAGCAAAGCATTCACGGACGACGGCTTTAGGACACTTGACCATCTTCGGTATCAAGTCAAACATCGCATCGAGCAAGATGTTTTCAAACTGCTCTCATCAAGTTACACCGTTTGTGAACAACCAGAAACATAAAACCTGCTCGATGCTCTCGTCGACACCATCGAGAACGAGGGCAAAAAGCCTCAAAGTAGATCTTCTCAGCATCGCCGCATCCTGGGCGGTTCCATGATTTGAGTCGGCGACTGCCGACCTGTCTGGAGAGTTTGAGGAGTTTAGCAGGAGCTTCTCTAGCAGCCTCTTGGTCTGCTTCTTGCCAAGAGATGTGAAGTACTGTATCCCGAGTCAGAGAGTCAAAGGTTGTCGCTCTATGACCTCTTACCTCTGCAATCTTTCTTCGAACTGCAGGTTTCGAACGTGCAAGCGATGCAGCAGCAGGATTTTCAAGGATCGATCTGAACAACTTGACAACTCTCCTGAGAATGGGAAGAGACTTTGCCCGATTTAGAACGTCGAGGATGCACAAGATGTTTCCCTTTGTCGACGCGAGTTCGATCAGCAAGACACTCTGAGACGTAGTCCCCGTTCTTGAACTTGAGTCGAAGTAGAACCAGACGAAGGAGGAGCAGCGCTTGGAGTCGACGACGATCTCCTGGAGGGTATTGAAGGCTTCATGAAGAACATCGCAGGCCGATCCTTCCAGGCTCATGTCCTGAGCTTGAACTGAGTCCAAGAGAAGGTCAATCCTGTGCATCTTGGAGACATCAATCAAGTTTTGATAGTCCTCGACGATTGAGGAAATACTGCGAGTAGAAAAAGAGTCATCAGCCAGTCTGAGAGCGGGGGGGGGAGAGTTGAGCTCACCTTGTAAGAGCCTCCGATTGACCGCCCGACAGAAAATGTTGCAGGCGGCAATCGACCGAGTACTGGGCCATGAGGATCGAGAGCTTTTCTACTGCGTTCTTTGACATCTCTGTCCCTTCGTTTGCCTTCTCCCCTAACAATCTTCTGATCACCGCCATCTGATTGAAGATTTGTCCTGCCAATGACACAAGAGTGTTCGCATGACTGTCCCCTACTATCTCTGAATTCCCCATGGTGATAGCGACAGATGCTTGCATGTCGAGGAGCCAGGAGTTGACCTCTTCTGGCCTTGGCAGCACTGAGAGCAGTTCCGTCCTAACATCTCTCAGCTTCCTGCTCCTCTCATCTTGTAGAATAGCTGGTAGCTCGCTGTCAAGGCAGGTTAGATGACATCGCATGAAGTACAAGGCCAACTGTTCAAACCTGCACGGTAGAGGGAATCCCAACTTAACGCACTGGCTGCTGAATCTTGGATAATCTGACATACACCGATCGATGCAGAGAGACCAGGCAGAGAAAAGAAACGCAGAAGAAGTGTGCAGGCTTCCAATCAGGAGGTCGATCACCTCAGGCAAAATCTTCGCAGATGAAGTGACGCCTTGCACGTCCTCCGAGTTTCTGAAGAAAGTCTCGATGGCCATCGTCTGCATCCCTGTCAGCGCATCCATGACGAAGCAGCTCACGGTCGCTCTCATGGCCGACTGCTCGTTTCCGTCATCCCTCCCGACCTCTTCTACCAGCTGACAACAGTTTCTCAAGAGCTGTAAGAGCTGATCTCTGCTGGTGAGGTCAAAGTCAAGCATCTTCTGTAGCTGCATCAGAAAATCGAAGACTGAGAGGTCTGGATGGTTGACAACAGCAACACAATCGTCCAATTGAAAGGGGAGATTGTCATGATGTCCATCCAGATCTCTCAAGAACCTCCAGGCCATCAACAGGATCACTGCGTTGAAGGACTTGTTGCAGGATGGTGAGGGAGAGACGTAGAGCACTTTCATGAAAGTGGAAGAAGCAGTCAGCAGTGCAGAGTAAAGTTCATCGTTGTTCATCGCTAGCAATTCTCTGATCGAGGGATCAAGCTTTCCTGGTGATAATACATCAGCCATGATGTGCCAACGAGAAAAATTTTCTGGGTTGCTTCCTGCTGTCACGTAAGCCCCATTGAGAAGAATCATTGTTCGGTCGACAACTTGTAAGTCGAAAGATGATAATTTCGACGATTCGATGGTGATGATATTCGACAAATCATCGAGAAATTGAGGGTGAGGTGAATCAAAATGTCGAGAGAAGTGCTGAACTAGTAGGAAAAGGTTAAGTGAGAGATTGTGATCGATCTTGTTGGCTTGAGTTGTTTTCGCATACATCGAGACGAGCTCTTTGAAGATTGTTCCTTTTTTCTCAGTCTCCAGCGTATGAAATCCAAATGACAATAGAATTGTGAGTTCAACGACGTTGTCAAGATCCCTTGATGCGCTTGATGTCAGATCTGCACCGACAACTCCACAGATTCCGCGATCCCCTTCACTGAAACTCCTTTCCAAAAGATATCTAAACGTATCCAAGGTAGATTCCCACATTTGCATCGCCATGACAGAAGCTTCTTCACAATCTTGCTCCATATGGTTAAGCAAAACTCTCACTAGAAGCCTCAACACCTCCCCAGGAACTACCAACGAATCTTTAAGCCACATTCTTTTGACCAGCTTGCCACCTATCGCACCACTAATGTACTTGTTATCAATCAGAAGCTGTGTAACTTCATTCCATCTTGAAAGCCTTCCACGTATTTTTCCTTTTACGGTTTCAGACGCAACATTGAGAAACAAGAGAAAACTATCCAGCACATCAGCGTCCAAGCACGTCTGAACAAGAGGCCCGAAACAAGTGTGAGCGTCAAATCTAAACATCCAATCTTCCATCAAGATCAAAATTGCATCTGTCAGGTCATAAGATCTCTTTGAAGATTCCAGCGGCAAACTAGCTCCCTGAATTTCCTTGTCGGACGAAGAGAGACTGGAAGCAAGATTGGCTGCAGCTGATGAGCTCTGATGATCCGCCGTCTGTGTCTTCTTCTTGGATGATGACACGCCAGGTTCATTGTTTTCTCCTGCTGGCATCTCAAGTTTTGCAGTTGACCCTTCTTTCTCCGGCTGAACCATCTCGTTCTTCAGGTAATCGTAGCAGAATTTCAAAGTGCTCGCACCACACACAGAGAAGAAGATGGTGACTCGATCAATCATGGAGTATGGGGTCTTACAATCCCATTCCCTAACATCTTCTCCAACATCGTTTGGAGCAGTCCTGCAGGCAGAGCGCAAAACTTCCAAATCAGGCCTTTGCAAATTATCTTGTATTTTCCAGTCGCTATCTTCCGCTGCTCTTTTCAGCATGGTGAGAATAATCGAGACAGCCATCCGAATCATGCTAAGGCGTGGCTGATAATTATCTAAGCATGTTTGAGATGAGTTTGTAAACACGTAACACGCGTATATCAATTCAAGATTGTACTTGAAGTGAATGAATTCAACCTTTTTGCCAAACTCGAAAGCACACAACATAAGCTGTTCGCAGAACGACGTCCTTTTGGTAGAATCATCAGACGTCAAGCCTCTGACGGTATTCCACATGACAACCATTAAGATTCTGAAGAACCACTGAGTCGCATCCCAGGGCAGTGACCGAGATTGCTTGAAAAGTTCGATAACCATGAGAACATATTGCTGATCAATTTCCATCTGGAGGTCCTGGATGTTTGTTGTGAATGCCTTTGTTATGACACTCACTCCTCCCAACTCGGTAAAAGCAGCTCGAATGCTGGCTATGGTAGAGAGATTCACTCCAACATCCCTTACTTTCGACGGTTTCTCATTTCGACAATCGCTAATTCCTGCAGGAAAGAATGAGAAAAACACGATAATCGAAGCTGATTGAACTTACTCGCTCTTGATGGGGTGATCAGCAACACACTAGATCGGAAGAAATCCTTGTTCCCCAAGGCAGATGAATTTGGCGACGTCTCCTTCGTTTCAAGTTTGCAGTATTCTCGACAAAGGAGCTCTTTGACTGCAGGACTCATGGCACTTGCAAACCGTAGAGAGATTTCCTTCAGCATGTCATGACTGCACGCGCTTTCACTGCAACAGTTGGAAATAACTTTCAGATTCTCATTACGGAAGTCATTTTGCTCGTGCTCGACTGACCACCTGATGTTATTTAGAATACGACCCATGAACTCTTCAAGGGTCTTCTGAAATTCTTTCGAAGGAAGACCTTTTCCTTCGTTAAATCTTACCAAGGACCAGGCGACTGCATGCATACATGAGACTAGGTATTGTAGCAAGCCATCCAAGCACTCTGAGAGCTTCGATGCGTCCGTTGTTGACGATCCCGCCAAGGATTGAGCAGCAAGTAAACGATCGTTCAACAAGACAAACTCGCGAGCGTGTCGAATCACATCTTCATTGGTATAGTTCTGCGTCTTCTCCGGATCATCAAAACAATCTTTGAACGGAAAGGTGATTCTGATCCCCTCGTCAGGCTGAGACAAGGCTTCGACCTCCATCTCAGACATCAGCTTTGCTTCAGAAAGGTATTAGAATTCAAGTTTCATGTCGTTGAACCTGAGCGGCGAACTCAGAAGATAAATCAAGTCAATGTCAACAAAGGAGAACTGATGAAACACTAGATGCTGCAATAATCTGCAATTTGTTGGCGCTAGACGGAGACTGAACTGCATAGAGCGCAAGGACTAGGAAAGAGCAGGAGCAGGGGGACAGCAGTGAACACCAAACACAAGGAAGCTACTTCTGACAGCCGTGAGCTGACTGTGGGAGAAGAAGGATCTCAGAGATGTCAGAGCCGAGAAGGAGGAATGGTATTCGAGTCGGTGGGACCACAAGAAGAATTACGAAATGAGCTGTTTTGTGGGGAGGGGCAGTAAGATATTCATGGGAAACTTGGACGACGTGAAGGTTCGGGTTCAAGGAGGAGGAGGAGTAGGAGAGGGGTAGCAGGAGGAGGAGGAGGAGGAGGAGGAGGAGGAGGAGGACTAAGTAGCTGCTAGCGCTGCTCTATCTAGCTTTCGATCCAGCCATGCTATGCGCAGAGACAGTCTGGAAGATGCTCGAAGGTTATGATCAGTTACAGGGCAGTTTCATGTCCGTTACGGCACCGGCTGTATTACTGAATCCACTGGCATTGTCGTCATCGCGCAGGTCTCTGGACCACCGCACACGAGCAGTGTACTGTGGGTCTGCGCGACATCTGCGTGGAAGCGGGCATGGTCACCAAGCTTCATCAGCAGGGTCTGCGACAAACCCGGACCCACGTCCCTCAGCATGGCCCCACAAACAGACACATGGGCGACCTCTGGCTCCCTGGCCTCTCCACCCACACCTGGAATGGGCTGGTTCTGGACTTCACGATGACTCATCCCTACAACAGCAGCGGCAGCTCCATCGGCCTTTCTGCGCTCTCCGGCCCCGCCCAACAGAAGATTTCGGATCATCGCGCCAGTTATGGCACCCATCACCCGCCGAAGGCCTTTCTTCCCTTCACTGCAGGTACGGATGGTCTTCTTCATGCTGACGCTTTGCGGTTTCTTTGGTACCTGGCGGATCACCATGGAGCAACGTTGACAGCGGAGTGGGATGGCTGTGCTCAGGAGGCGGTGTATGGGGACCCTGGCTTTCATCGTTTGCGTGCTCGTCTGTTTCGGCAGTATCGCTCTCGCATGGGTCTTGCCGTCCTCCTCGCAGGAGCCTTGCGCTACTGCTCTTTGTCCTGATCCTTGTTCCCCTGCTTGTCGTGCATGCCGTCGCTTGCGTGGTTGGAGTAGCGGTTTTGCTGCCTCCTCCGTTTCCTGGTTTTTTTCTTGAGGCGGATTTGTCGGTTTTCTCCTTTTCCTCCTTGTTTGCTCCGGTTTGCATTTCCATTTTCAGTCAATAAAGAGAATCCCCGGAGTCCTACTGACGGTCCCGGGAGTCTCAGCAGTCGGACGCCGACGGTCAGCGGGCCCTGGCAGCCCGGCCACAGGCCCAGCGGGGTGGCGCCGGAGAAGTTAGGCCGCTGTGCAAAGTTTCAGAGTTTAATTAAATGTACATCCTGATCACATGCCGCACGGTGACTCGTTGCTATGCCAGGCTGGGGCGTCTTAACAGTCCGAATCAAACAGCACTCATTCATCCCCCGTTGGCAGCTGTTTCGCGTCCAAGCTGCTTCGCTTCCTCAGCTTCTTGACGAAGGTGCTCCACTTCAGCTGGCTACGACGTTGATTGTAGCCAGAGTCGATGTTGAGCCAATTGTAGAACTTCGACTCGTACTTGAGGAAGATCGCTTCAGCGACCGCCACGGTTGGATTTGCCTTGAAGTCCTCCACCATCTTCTTCTCCTGTAGTCCTTGATCCTCATCCGACCTGTCTTTGAGCTCTCGTTCGATGAAAGTGTTGAAGGACTTGATCAGAAACCGAAGGTCTGACAGTCTCTTCTTGTCGTCTCGGTTCGCCAGATCACAAGATGTCAGCTGCTTGAAGGGTGGATATCCCTTCAATGCACTCCCGCAGTACCACAGGGTCCACCCGGATATCGGGCTGTCCAGCTCCTCCTTGAAATGCAGATCGGGGGGGAAGGTGAGCCTTTCCCTCACGCGACAGCTGCTCCTGTCCTCTGGTTCCTCCCTCACTTCCTGCTCCACCACATTGATAGAGGAAGCTCTTGGCTGCAGAACTGCCGTCACGTTCGCCGTGATCTGAGCTACAGCAGCCTTGAAGTGTTCCTGCAGCTCACTGCGCATCGTGTCAGTGACGATCCGGCGAATGTAGCTTTCAAGTTCTGGAGACTCCTCGTAGGGACCGGGGCCTGCTGATGCCCCTTCCTCTCCTACTGTCCTCGACAGCCTCTCCTGGACTTTCCTCTCCACCGCCACCACTCGGTTCGACAGGTCTTTGAAATTGTCTGCAACACTCTTCAAATTCTGTGAAATCAGCTTGTTCTCCGCTGAAACTTCCCCCAGCTCCTTGTAAACCTTCTCGTTGTAGAGATACTGGTACACGTGGGGCGGCAGCCCAGTGACTTTCATCGCATTGGTCTGGTGGGGCATGCAGCAAACGACACGAGATTTCAGATCGTCCAGAAGAGGGAAGTTTCGGAAGAGCGAAGAAAACCAGAGGGGATGTCGAGGATCAAGGTTCTTCTTCAAGTAGTCGAGGTGATACACGACTGAAGCAAGCACGTTTTCCAGTACGACATCCATCGACGAGGGCAGGTTGGGAAAGTAGGTTCTTATGGATGACGGGATGAGCTCATCTCTCCTCGCAAAGTGAGGCGGCAGAAGCGCAAAATCTGCTTGCTGCAATGGCAGGCCTGCAACGGTCCGTCCAACGAAGGCATCGCCAGCTGCTTCAAACCTGTAGGAGATAGAAAAGTAAGCATCATGAGCACAAGGCAGAGAGAATCGTCCTACTTGAATTCGCTGTCCGACGAAGAAGGGTTCCCCATGCCAGCTCGGTCTTGGATGCAGGACGATGGAGGGCCGAAGGTGCTGGAAGAGGAGCAGTAGGTCGCAGCTCCGAGTCGGACACTGTGGGTCCCGATGTCCTTGGGATGAAGACCAAGAGCAGTCAAGCCTCTATTGATCTCCCTCTTCACTGAAGGGTACTCCCACGCGGCCCGTCCTCCCTGCGCATCCTCTTCCTTCAAGGTCAGCACAGACTGCAAGATGTTGAGATAACGATGATGTTGCGATCTCCCGGGAAACAATTTCTCAGGATCGGGAGTAAAACTTAACAAGTAGATGCCCAAGGCAAGGATGGGACAGATCTCCGGGCATTTGGGATTGCAGTAGATTCTTCTGGGACAACGAAGACGCTCGTCTACTTGCTCCGATCGAAAATGAGTAAACTGTATGCAGAGCGCGTCGTCATGCCAAGACATATCGCTGTACTTGATATACTCGATATTCACCGCCCTGCTCATCAGGTTCCACGATGTTATGAAAAACGTCCTTGCGAACACAAATTCTCTGTTCTTACATATTAACATTTTCTCGGATAGAAGAGTGTACAAAGAGAATGGTAGCGGGACTTTGTTAGAGCTCCTGACCTCTCGCGGGACAGCAGGAGCTGTGTTGTTATTGTTCTTCCTCAAGTTCTTGAAAGCTTCTCCGATTTCATTCTTCATTTCGGCTGGAATGGTTTGTCCAAAATCTCTGTAGAGGCAATTTAAGGCCGATCTATGATTGCTTGCGGTAGAAAAATGTATTTCTTGGTTTTCTGCTTTCAACGATTCGATCCATTGCAAGAAATGGGCAGCTGTGAATTGCTCGAAGTGCATCGGAACCACCCGATGGTTTGCTGGAATCAAGCAGTCAGATTCAATAGAGGAGGCAAAGACTCTTCACCTTTCTCAGGGTCTGCTGCTTCTCCCTCATCGTTCCAAGCAAGGTCTCTCAGCGCAGACTTCAAGCTCTCACTTGTAGGCATGTCAACTGTCTGCCCTGAGGGCAACACTGTCGTGGCCATGTCCAACCGGCGTCTGAAGTCTTCTGTCACCATACCTGGATAGGTGATATGAAGCCACTGAAGAAATCGTGTCTGACTCGACGTGTAGGATGATCTCGAGTTGTGTGAGACCTCGACAGTTCGGTTTGCCGACATCTCTTGCAGTATGCCGATACTGTTCCTTTCCAGAACTGTGTCCTCCGCGACTCTCTTCCTCTTCCCCGTCGATGTCAGAGCCTCTGGCTCCTCTATCGCTGCAAGGGTTTCCTTGTCGCAGTCTCCACACCACGTCACGTCATCGGTCAGGGAGGATGAACAGAGATGATGGAAGGGGCGGCTACAGTAGCTACACGCTCGCAAAGTTGCAGCCCGATTATTGGGCATCTTGCACCGATCCTTGAACAGACAGCAAGACATGTTGCCCAACAGGGAAACTGCTGCCGAGGATGGAGAGGAAGGGAGCGGGAGCAAGGCAGGACAGCAGGGCAGCTGCAGCAGGAGCAGGACAGCAGGAGCAGGAGCAGGAGCAGGAGGAAGTGGCGGGAGAAAGGAGGGTCAAGTGCATTCGAAAAAGTCTCCTTGTTCCCTATCAAGACGTTGTTGCCTCTTGCTTTATCCTGAGGCGGACTTGGATGTTCATACCCCGGGCCCGGCGGCCGCCACTCACGGTGCGGCGAGCCGCTGCACTGAGCCTTTACTCAAAGTTAAGTTAAAAATCAGTACGAGGACAATCAGGAGAGTCGAGGAGGCTTGACCCTGACACTGTCGGACAGGCCAAACGGCGAGAAGAGAAAAGACAGCGAGAACCAACCCTTAGTATCCAGATCCCTTCAATGAGACTGAGGCCCAGCAGTGGAATCATGGCATACCGCGATTCGAAACTAGTCAGTGACAACATAGTTTCTTTATGTCTGGGTTGCTGCCATTCTTAACAAAGTAAAGAATCGGCGATGAAGGTGTTAGTCGGCTCTTGGCGACCCCGTCCGACTGAGCTTCAGAGCTGCAGAAAGCTTCAAGTCTAGATGATCTCTGGCCAAAAGTATCTGTGCCCCATGGCCTGCAGCAGGGATATCCCATCACTTCTCCTCCTGCTGTCCCCACACGATCTCCTTACCTCTCTTGCAGAAAATCTTCCTCTCTGGAAAAAATTCCTCGGTCGCACCTGCACAGTTGTCAAGACAGGAACAGAGCAGGACGGGGGCATACAAGTTTAGTCGCCAGGTCCCAACCAGCTCCACCGTTGCGTTCCAACAGGCTGAAGGCTCTCTATCAAGTTGCGTGCTATGCGGAGAGAAACGTTACCTCAGGTCGTACTGGCTGCCAAACTCTTCCTTCCACCTTATGAGATCTGCATGCGAAGGGTGAAAAATGAAGAACTTTTCAGTCTGACAGACCTTCCCCTGTGTTGTACAGCTGACTTTTGAAGGTATCCAAAGCTTTGCCCGTCCTGTCACTCAAATTTCACAAGGGATTCTGATCACTAGCCTGCAGGGACCTCAGCTCCGGGATCGACATCTGCATGAGCATGATGCCCGCACTGTATGTGTCAAAGCGATCGGGAGACGTGAGCTGCCACAGAGCAGGCGAGAGAAGCAGCGCAACGAATCTTGGAGGTGCTCTTGGGACTTCTTGAGGAACCACAAGCTGCTCTGGTGGAGCATATTTGGGGTCCAGCAATCCTGTTTCTGGATTGAAATTGACTCCAGTCCGCAGGTCAACCGCTGCTCCCAGGTCAATCAGCTTGACTGGAGGCGTTCCTTCGTAGGTGACGATCAGGTTTGCGGGCTTGATGTCGCGATGCACGATCCCAACCCTATGCATATCACGAAGAGCTGCTAAAATAGGTCTCAGAATCCCTTTGATGATCATCGTCTCTCGTTTTCCAGCGTCCATGTTTGGATATTCTTTTCCCAGAATGGCTTCCTCAAGGTTGTAAGGAAAGTCTTCCTCGTTGAGGTAAAAGTCAAGAGTATTTCTACCTTCAAGTTTCCAAACAAGCCATTGATCCGAGGAGATGGTTAGAGTACTCTGGCCCTCCTCTTTCATTCGCACTCCACCAACAAATGCACCCAAATAGGAAGCGAAGGATCCAGAAAATCCATATCTTCTTACCCTCTCGTTGAAGTAGCTCTCAACCTTGCCAGTTTCAAAATTTCCTCTTGCCACCGTCCCTCCGACCAGAGAAGTGCCAAAGAGAGTTTTTCTAGCGAAGTTTTGTCTCAGCTGCTCTTCATCTGTGACGATACGCTTCAAAACAACATCTTCGTTGGATCCCTTCTTGAGCTTCTTCCTACCGTATTCAGTGACCTTGGCTTCAAACACGGTTCCAAAGTTGCCCCCACCCATCTGCTTCCCGATCAAAAAGTCCCGACCTGTCCACTTGGTCTCTAAAGCTTTATCGATAGGAGAAACGATGTATATGTCGAACAATCCGAACAGAAGGCCTGGGGGTGTCAAAGCATAAAACGACAAGAGAACAGCTCCAACGACTCCAGCTCGCAAGGGAGTGGTAGGCCATGCCGCTTGCAACACACGGAAAGCTCGAATGATCTCGCCCTGGGCAGCAAGCCGTTGCACCGCCCTCATTGTGACATCAATGCCTTCAGGGAGCAAGCCCTCGTGTCCACCGGTCTTTGACACTGCATCCAGCAACTTCATGTAGTTAGGAAGAAACGCTTCTATGGCTTGGGAGATGATCAATGCGAGAGGTGGCAGCGTAAACTGTAGCACTTGTCTTACTCCAGGCGTGTTGACAATTATCGACAACGCCCGCTGCAGATTTTCAGATCCTGGGCCGATGTCAACAGCCTTGATCATGGTTTGCAGAGTCTCATCGGCCGGTGATAAAGAGGCAGCATTCTGCAAGAAATTTTAGCAAGTCGAATAGCACCATCCATTTCATCCTACTTCATCGTAAGCCGTCGCAAGATTCAAAAACGTGTTGTGCGCAAAAGCATTGAGATCATGGAGATGGGCATTGCTGCTCAGTTCACTCAGGGTAGGCAGATCCAACATGCTGAGCTGGCATGTCCTGCCTTTACGCCGAGAGTTCTGCGAAAAGCAACAATGCTGCTAACAATAAAACAGAGGTCACAATCTGTTGACATAACGAAGACCAAGAAAGTAGAAGCAAACAAAACTTCAGACAGTAAGGACATTTACCTGGAAAGTATTAACATGGTTATGGGATCTTGAGAGAGGTGTGATTATGTATGCTGATACTAACTCGAGGCTCGTGAGACAGAGAACCAGGATCACACTCAATTTGATCCTCATCCTGGACAAACAAGTATGATGAGACGTCGAAAGATCCTTCTCTAATGCATTTGTGCCTTAGGTCAAACAGTCTTCGTCATCAGCCTGAAGCAAAACAGATGTCAGCAAGGCTGAAGAAAAGCTTCGGTGACCATAAGAATCGAGTATTTGGCTACAGGTTGATACAGTTGATGCAGCAAGGAGAAAAGTTAGGGATAGGGTTATCAATGTTGAGAATGGTTGATCAGGATTAACGAGCTTGTGGTAGTGAAGGGCATCGAGGTTGATGGAATCGAAAGCAATAGCATAACTGTGCGTGCATGTAGGTGAAAAAGGGAATCATTCAAGAAAGAATGTGTCAAAGAAATGAAGGATTTCGAATGACCGGAATCGAGATTCGCAACGGATGCAAAGAGAACATCAAAAACAGAAGAAAAAGCATGGAATTCGAGATATACTGGAAACGAGGGAAGAGAGAACCCAGTTGTAGAGGTCATGAGACAGATTTCACCAGGGAAAACACGGCTGCAATCGGTGCACAATGCTAAGCAATTCAAGGGAGACAGAGAGGGGTAAGTTGCTTGGTGAGGGAAACTAAAACGCAGGAGAAAGATTGAAAGGAGGATCATGAGAAGGCGCATCTTCTGCATGGAAGCTGCATGAGAAGTTCAATCAGAAGGAGCATAGCGGCTCAGACAAATCCTGCGGCAGGATGCCATCACGCAAGGAATATAGACTCCGGGCATAGATTCGAGAGTATGGTGCAGTGAGGTGGGGGTGGTGCTTGTTGGATTTAGGTAGGGTAATCCACATATTTGATTCAATTGGGGTAGGTCATAAAACACGAAAAGAAGGGAATATGACCGGTTATCACGAACGTGGACGGGGTGATAGCAAATGGGTAGTACATCTGTAGGGGTGGTACATGTCTAATAAAACGTATCACACAAACAGAGGGGTGGTGTACATACCCCTGACAAAGTCTGCAGAATCATGGGAAAAGGGTGGGTGGGTTAGTTGCTTAGCACCGGTCTATTTGTCTGAAATCCTTTGGTAATACAAGGGGTACAGGGAAAGGAGAATAATCTTTTCAATTTTTCAAAATTGCAGAAAACTATGTTTGAAATTGGAACCAAAATTACTGAATGCACCGGGGCCGCGGCAGCCGGGCCGGGCCCGGCAGGCCGAGGCCGCAGGCGCCGGCCCTCCGAGAACTTCGTCCGATCCGGGACGCCGGTTGCCGCCGCGGGGCCGGGCCGGGCCGGGCCGGGCCGGCTGGCGGCATGGCGGGCTCGGGCGCCGCCAGGCCCCAATGACACCCAACACGGGTGGCGGGCCTGGCAGCCGCCGGCACAGAGCCCAGCCGCCGCGGCCCGGGGCGGCCCGGGCCAGCGACCGAGGGCGGCGGTGAAGACTGAGTAGGGACGGGGATGAGGGCGCGGATTAGCAAGGGCATGTGACGGGGGCCGTGGGAATGCAGTAGACTGAAGCGAGCGATGAAGGAGGGAGAGAGGAGGCAGGAGAGAGGGAGAGGGAGGGAGAGGTAGAGATAGTCAGAGGTTCTTACAAGCCATGCTGAAGATCTTTCGGTCAGAAGTGAGATGGTGGAGTTGAGAATCTCTAGAGATTGCAGGGTCGGAAACTGGAAAGGTCGAGGCATTTGGAAAGGAACAAAGAGCAAGGAAGGGATGTGGGGAGAGGGTGCAGGACGTTTCATCTCTCTCGCTGTGTTGATACTTGAGATTCCAGCATGAGGAGGCTGTTTCTTCTCTTGGCGCTTTCCGTTCTCCTCTTCGCCGTAGGATGTATTGGACAAGAGGCGGCTCAATCTGTGATGGACAAGGACGGGGATGGTAAGGTTTCCACGGAAGAATTCTTAGAACATGCTCAGAAGCAGGTAGGGTGACGCATGTCCCATGTCGGCGGTGACGCTTGCGGCAGGCTTCTGGTGAGAGCAGCGAGGGCGTCTGCACGGACGAGACCTGCTCTGGCCACCATCATGCATCGCACGGAGAAGGGGGAGAGAGCGGTGGGGAGGCAGCAGGTGGTCTATGAGAGCTCTGCTCTCCATGCTGATGCGGCAGCGGCAGGCATGCCGACGAAAGAAGAGATCGAGGCAGCGAAAGCTGAAGTAGCGGCGGCAGTGGCTAAGGGGCTGCCGATTGAGATGACCAACGCAAACACAGCAGCCATTCTTGACTGCACCTCCAACATCTTCGTGAAGCTTCCCTCGTTCTTCCTCGGTTGCCAACCCACCTCGACGCCTTCCTCCCCTCCCCTTCCTCGCTCTCCCCTATCCTCGTTCTCTACTTCTTCTCGTCCTTCAGTCTGCCAGTCAGTATCGTGCGACATGGTTCAATAAGGTATCTATACAAGTGTGACTACAAGTGACCTGCCGGGGTTGTCATCCCCACCCTCGTCACGTCCAGCGAGACTTTTGAGCTCTTGTTCTTTGATCGGAAGAAATGACCTGCCCGCTCCTTCAGCGCCGTTCCCCGCTGTTCCCTCCTCCCTCCCTCCCTCCCTCCCTCCCTCCCCCACCCTCCCCTCGTCCCACTCTCCTCCCTCATATCTGCAGCAACAAGTCACCTGTCCTGAGCAAGGCTCGTCCGCTCCTGTCCTCGATGTCCTCTAGCGTCGAGTGAGAGATCCACAGGAGCACTGCGGGGCTTGTCAGAGAACGAGAAAGAAAAGTAGATGAGCGAGGGAGGGGGGGGGGGAGGGGGAGGGAGAGGGAGAGGGAGAGATGGAGGGAGAGTAAGGAGGGAGAGGGAGAGGGAGAGGGAGAGGGAGAGGGAGAGGGAGAGTAAGGAGGGGGGAGGTGGAAGGGGATGAGGCGCATTACCTGTAGCAACGACGATTGCTAAGAGCAGGAACATCCTGAGCGCTTGAATTCTCTTTAGCCTGAAAGTATTCTGAAGGACAAAAACATCAGCAGCACATCCCTTTCGTCCCTCGCCCCTCCTCCTCTTCCGCCCTCCCCCCCCCCGCCCCTGATCTCCCCTCTCCTCCTCCGTGTCTCAGCCCTCCCATCACCTGGACGAAGAGCATGACACAGTGGAAACGACCTCTGCAGCCCTAACGTCACATCGCTGCAGCACGAGCATGAGGCACTGTCACCTCCGCACAGCCTTGCTGTTGTCGTCGTGGTCGGCACAGAAGATCGCAGGTTTGCTCCTCGAGCTCGATCCCAGCAGAGCAGGAGGAGGGCAGCTCCTCAGGTTGTTCTGCTGCATGCTCGGCGACGCTCCCTTGTCGTTGGAGGACGGAGTCTTCTTCCTGCTGTGCCTCGTCTTACTCGCATCCAGCGCGCTGTCAACCGACACAAGGCTGCGAGGAGGAAGCGCGAGTCTCGCCAGCACAGCGTCTGTCCCCTCCTCCCCCTCCCCCTGGCCCGTCCGACCGGCCGCGTGCCATGCTAGCGGCATGCTCCTCTCAACCTGCCCATTGCTCTTGTACGCGTCATGCAAGCAGGCCCTGCCTGCCTGCCCGTAGCTGTTGCTCTGGTCGACCATCATACTGTCAGCGAGCCATCGATCCCAGCACACCCTCACCTGTACGTCACAGACTCGGAGAGTTTTGTTGGAGCGGATGGCGTTAGCGATCCTGGTTGCTCCTACAACACCATCAGAGCTTCCCGCTCCATCTGCTCCTCGGTCCTACCCCTCCTACTTCTCCTCAACATTCTCTCATGCTAGCTTTGCTTCTCCACTATCTCTGTCTCCCCCCCTGTCTCTTCTACCTCCGTCCTTGCCTGCCTTATCCTCGTCATCTAATCCTTCCCTCGGCCTCGTTCGCCTGCTCTCTCCGTACCCTCTCCTCCTTTCATTGTCATTACCCGTATCAGAAATGTAGTTCTGCCGCAAGTTGAGCTCCAGGAGCGTGTTGTTCTTCTGCAAGCACCACAGAATGTCATAAACCCCCTCCCTCCCTCCCTCACTCCCTCCTTCCCACCGCCACCACGTCCTCCCTCCTCTTCTTCCTTTGTAATTCTGCTCATGACCTCCTCCTCTCCTCCACCTCTCCTCCTACATCCTTCTTCGCATCCGTTTTCTTTCTCTTGCTCCCTCCTCCCTTCCATGCATCCTTGTCGTCTTTGCTCCCCATGTCACCTTGAGGATGAAGTCGTCCAGGCCGATGAGGTCGCCGGGGTAGTATGCTTCCGTGACATATTGCGGAGGCAAGCTGCTCGTTCTTTCCGATCAAGCTTCCTCCGATGACCAGGTACAACCTGATTGCGAGCAAGTCACAACATGTCATCGTTCATCACATCAGATCTCAGCAGGCAACGACTACAACCTGCGCTCGTCCCTCGCAGATTCGAGAGTTTTCCCTGCCGCCAGTTTCTTGCCCTCCACGCACTCGCTCGGGAACAAGCTGAAGATCGACTCGATCAGATCC